GAAGAAATCTAGCAGATAAAAAAATTTTAGGTGGGGATTAATATTTAATGGAAGCACGTAAACAATATAAATTCCATAGAAATTGAATTCTATTTTTCAATTTATTTTATCTTCTTTCAATAGTTTTTTTTTGGAATAAAATATTCAATAAAAATATATTTCTATCTTGAAAATTTAAAATTTTCTTATGATTAAATTTTTTTGGATATAAACAACAAAATAAATTATACACAATTTACATTACATATAATCAGTTTTTCTCATAAGCTCTAATTATAATATTTAATTAAAAGGGCTGAGGCCATTTATTTTTATGAGGTCCTAGCAAAAAATTGTATTATATTTTTTAGGTAATGAAATTTGACAAAATTTAATAAAAATTTTAAAGATATCTTCCTTAGTACACAAAAAATTCAATGAAATAAATACCATGAAGCATCTGTAGATGTGAGGCCTGAGCTAAATGTTTCTACTAGCTTCCCTGTGTGGAGCCTTGTTTTAAATTAATATTTTAAATAAAATAAATAAATTTTATATATTATAACAAACTTAAACATTTTATAATAATAACATTTTAGTTAAAATGTTCAAGGTTGTAGGAATTTTAATTAGATTACCAGAGCGATTGTTTAGATTGGATACTTAAAATAAGACCTTAAGATTCCAAGTTGACGTTATTCTTAAAAAATCGACTTTAAAGTATATCTGATTTGGAACCATTTTAGAAAGATGGCAATCTTTAAAAAGAGAGTCAACTGATAGAATCGTTATTAATTCTATTCCACGAGATAAAGGTATCAGCACCAATTAGGTACTAATCCTCGCGCAGATTATTCAATTGATGTAATATCTATCTTAATATTAAAGAGTGCCAATGCCAAAGAGTCATTGGACTAGATTCTAATCCGGTTTCTAACTCCAGATGCTTGATTCATCGCAGCAGCAACAAATTCGTAAACATAGACTCCTGTTATTTATGGAGAGAGTCATGAGTCATCTGTCGTTCCAGTTAATTTCCTGATGCCCAGATGCTTATTTTACACACAAAACCATTTTGGAATATATTTGAAAAAATTTACTTGTTTTAGTTACAAAATTATCTTCATCCTCGTTAATAGAAGTTATATTTTATAGTTCTTAGAATGAGGCATTTTGTCGTGTCATTTAGATGACTGGGGAATTTTATCGGAATTTAGAAATAAAAATTATTAAGAAATATTTTATAAAAAAAATTCATTCTTTCAGCTTATTTTTCAAAAAGTTTTTATAAAATTATTTTAAAATAATAATAATAATTTTATTAGAGTTTTTACAATAAATTCCAATTTTAAAAAAATGGTTGGCGAAATGTTGGCTTCCCTGCATTACTCTGCTTCTATGTGGAGAAGTTTAACTTTTCCTCCTTTTCAAGTCGGTCTTTCGAGCTGAATTATGCTAATTTATTCGTTTTTAATACGAAATTTTAAACAAAAACCGAAATTAAACGTAATTTACTCATTACCTCGTTTAAATAATAGTAATTTAATTAAATTTTTGTTAGAGTTATTCATTTTCAACGTTTTTATTTATTTATTTATTTAATTTTTATGTCAAATCTACGCCAAATATAAATTAAGTTCGATGCCCTCAGTTAAATTTATGGCTCTTTCATTCCTCACTTAAATTAGTTTAGTCTCCTATTAATGGATATTGATTATCTTGTTTGGTAAAGTTGCCTGGAAGGTAATCTCTTAATTTCCGAATTGCTTCTTTACACAGAAGAGCCAGCAGGCCCTCCTGTCATAAGGCCCGGCCTCACATTTACAGGACCCCATAACATTGATTTTTGAGCTCCTCTAAATGTGAGGCGCAAGTCAAATTATTGGTGAAGGCATCACATATAAACTTCCAAAGTAATTTATTCATTAATTACAAACATTCTCGTTATTTTCAAATTTTATTACTTTAAATCTCCAATTTTAACATTTTTTATTGCCGTTTTGTTATTTTTAATATACTGAAGGCCGCAGAAAGGGCCTTTTTCCATTTTTTTTAGACTTGATTATAAAGTATATAATAAAAAATTGGTTTATTTATGATTTGTTTTAATAATAAGTTAAATTAAAAATATCTTCAAAAATAATTAAAAAAGAGGCTTTTTAATACCTCATAAAACTTTACTTTTCCAATTTTAGAGCTGTTATTCGTTAAAAATGTCTATTTTTGTTTTAAATATTCAAAAAATCCAATCAAAGTTTGCCTTTCTGACTTTTTCTTTACTAAAACACTTAATTTATTTATCCGTCATTTTTATTGGTTTGTTATTTTGATAGGCGGAGTCTATTCTTATTGTCATGACGACCAAGAAATGTTTTACTTTATGTCACGTGATTTTGCGTGTCATGTGATCATGAAAACCAAAATTCTAGAAAATTCATAATTTATAAATAAATCCAAAAAAGCACGTCGAAAAAACAATCGTCGCGATCAACAATTAATTAATAAATTATAACAGAATTGCGTGTAAACCATTTAAAGAAACGTAATATAAAAAATAAACTATTTAAATAAGAATTAAATTGTATAAGAATTAGAATAAGAATTAAAATGTATTTATATTTTTTTATTAATCTGAATAAGAAATATTTTAAAATATAAAAGTACAACGAATAAAATCTTTTGAAATATTTCAATTTGTGTAAAAACCCTAATAGNATTGCGTGTAAACCATATTATGGAAAAGGACCACCCCTGAATCTTCTAGGGACCTCTGAAGGTCTTAATCCTCCGCTACACTTATACTTTAATTTCTATTAATTTTTAAAATCAATTTTTTAAAATATTGTTACAAAATTATAAACTAAATAAAGATTTGCATCGCTTTCATCCTAAAAATCTTGATATAAATCTTAAAAACTAACATAATATTAATTAATTTTTATAAAAAACTAAGTGTTAAAGAAATAAATATTATATTAAAGTTATATATAAATATCATATATTATTATAATAAGTATATAATAGTATAATATATATCTACATATATAAAAAATTTAAAATATGTATGTATGTAAGACAAAGGATCTATATTGTTTAACGTATCCGCACCAAATGAGGCATGGATATTCTTCAACACACTAGAAAAAATACTGTGGGGCCTCTCCCAATAACCCCTAAAGCCCACTTCCTCTTAATTTAAGCCCTAGCAACACCAGGCACACGCATCTACTCTTCAACTCCTTAAAAATACTGTAGAAAATACAACCAGCCCTCATTCACCTAATGTCACCCCCTGAAAAGTCAGAGCAACATCACCTATATGTTATAAACCATTATATAGTTATAAATTAATATTTTAAATAAAATAAATAAATTTATTTATTTATTTAATTTTTATTTTATTTATTTATTTATTTAATTTTTATGTCAAATCTACGCCAAATATAAATTAAGTTCGATGCCCTCAGTTAAATTTATGGCTCTTTCATTCCTCACTTAAATTAGTTTAGTCTCCTATTAATGGATATTGATTATCTTGTTTGGTAAAGTTGCCTGGAAGGTAATCTCTTAATTTCCGAATTGCTTCTTTACACAGAAGAGCCAGCAGGCCCTCCTGTCATAAGGCCCGGCCTCACATTTACAGGACCCCATAACATTGATTTTTGAGCTCCTCTAAATGTGAGGCGCAAGTCAAATTATTGGTGAAGGCATCACATATAAACTTCCAAAGTAATTTATTCATTAATTACAAACATTCTCGTTATTTTCAAATTTTATTACTTTAAATCTCCAATTTTAACATTTTTTATTGCCGTTTTGTTATTTTTAATATACTGAAGGCCGCAGAAAGGGCCTTTTTCCATTTTTTTTAGACTTGATTATAAAGTATATAATAAAAAATTGGTTTATTTATGATTTGTTTTAATAATAAGTTAAATTAAAAATATCTTCAAAAATAATTAAAAAAGAGGCTTTTTAATACCTCATAAAACTTTACTTTTCCAATTTTAGAGCTGTTATTCGTTAAAAATGTCTATTTTTGTTTTAAATATTCAAAAAATCCAATCAAAGTTTGCCTTTCTGACTTTTTCTTTACTAAAACACTTAATTTATTTATCCGTCATTTTTATTGGTTTGTTATTTTGATAGGCGGAGTCTATTCTTATTGTCATGACGACCAAGAAATGTTTTACTTTATGTCACGTGATTTTGCGTGTCATGTGATCATGAAAACCAAAATTCTAGAAAATTCATAATTTATAAATAAATCCAAAAAAGCACGTCGAAAAAACAATCGTCGCGATCAACAATTAATTAATAAATTATAACAGAATTGCGTGTAAACCATTTAAAGAAACGTAATATAAAAAATAAACTATTTAAATAAGAATTAAATTGTATAAGAATTAGAATAAGAATTAAAATGTATTTATATTTTTTTATTAATCTGAATAAGAAATATTTTAAAATATAAAAGTACAACGAATAAAATCTTTTGAAATATTTCAATTTGTGTAAAAACCCTAATAGATGGCAGCACCGTCCGAGCATGGACGAAAGCAAGGGTTTGGGAGGTGATGTACTTCTATTGTGGCTGCGCTCAGTAAAGCGTTAAGCTAGTTAAACTTAATTGTCGCGGACGAGAAAAACTTGAAAAAATCTAAAGCCTAAGGGATTTTGATTTATATAACAACAATCTGTCTCTGGCTGAGATATTATTGACATTAGTTGGAAGAATTGTTGACATTAGATGCTGTGTGATTCTTGCTGATCTTCTTGGTTTCATGTACGAGTTCCAATCCGCCTAATAAAATCAAAAACAACACACAAAGAAAGAAAACATTAAAATAAACATTGTTAGACTTTTAATAAGATTAATGTCACTGATCGATACTCACCTGACAGGTCAATTTTGTTCCATTAAGTTTGTGCTTTCGATAATAGAGTACAATCGACTCCAAATATGGGAATGGAAATGACTTCAGATAATATAAATCGTTGACAATGACAATTGTATGATGTTTTATGTCTCCGTTTCTACATCTACAATGAATTTTTGTATTGCATAATTCTTGTTAAACCGCAAACATAAAGAAATAATGTATAAATTTGAAGAATAAAACGAAATTAACAGAAATTTACAACTGTATTATAGCTAAATTCTACTTATTTGTGAAGATAATTAAATAATTTAACAGAAAATTTAAAGTTAATTAGTGTAAATATTTAAAAATTATTATAATTCATTCACTTACTTGAGAGCTAAACCGATTCTTTCCCTTTTCAAATCCTCGTAAATAATAAATGTTCCTGGCCAATTGTTTCTGTTGGATAAAATTAAATTTACTTCTTCTTTACTCATTATAACTGGGTCCAATCTGTACAAATAATTAAGTATTCATATAAAATCACTTTAAAATTAATTTTTTTAATAAGTAATTTGTTCTATTTTGGCGATATATGTCATTATAACAACCTTTATGTCATCGAGGACCGATTATAAAACATTGTTTTTAGATATGACTCATATTGTTTTTACATTCAAGGTCGAATGATAATATACCTTCATAAATCAGTATTGTAAATTGTCATAACTAAATCTAAATTTGCATTTGAAGCAATAACGAAAGGCCTATTGCATAAATTCCAGATCAATTTAATTGTTTCTATAGAAGTTGCAGAGTGGGTTCGTTGACACCGAGACAAGAATTGGGGGTGGAAAAAAATACAAAAAGATAAAAAAAAAGCTGACGACTTTTCATAGGTGTGAGGTACATACCTAGCTACACGCATGCTCCACGCAGACAATAGAAATAAAGGTTGTGTTGTATGACCTTGATGTAACAACCCTCTCTGAATCAGATCTTTTGAGATCGGAGATTGACAACTTAACGTTACTTGCCATTCGGCCTAACAATAAATTGGATAGTGTAAAAATAAAATTAAACGTGCCAAATGTGTAATTTTTTCCCATTTTTTTTTATTTTCCTGAAGCGAGAATTTATATTTAAATAAATAAATAAAAAATAATGAGCTGTTTCTTCCTGCTGTCGTTCAAAATGAGAGCATCTGGTGACATTATCCAATTGTCCTAAATTCGATCGAGCGAATTATAATCGTTATTGATCAGTTGATCAATTGATCAACTGATAAATTTTTAGTATTTTAAAAAAATATATAATTTTAATTACACATTTCATTTTAAAATATTCATATTAAGCAATCGACTGAAAGTTAATTATTCTTTATTATAAATATAGTATATAATAATCAGTTATATTTTAAAATTAATTTTAATAAATATCGTAACAATTCTTTGATAGAATTTATAAATTATTTTCCTTATTGTTTTTATGAACCAAGAGATTTTTAAGATTTTAATGGATAAATATTAAAATTGTGCTTTTATATTTCAAATTAATTTCTATTATGATTAAAGAAAATGCCAAATATTATTATATGAGAGCTTACCGATACTTTACATACACGTAGGTTAGCCCATAAATCAGTTAACCATGTTTTGTGTATTCTAGAGATACTTGTGAATATGAATCCTAAGCTGAATTTAGAGTAATATGCTTTAGTTTTATAGATTTGGTGAAACAGGTAATTAAAAACATATGCAACACCTAGGTATCCAGCTATTGAACCATCAGAAACTGCTAATCTCCAGTTAACTGATTTTTGGACCACCCTCTATAAATATTCAGATATTTACATATTTACTAAACTTTAAATAATTNGGTGACATTATCCAATTGTCCTAAATTCGATCGAGCGAATTATAATCGTTATTGATCAGTTGATCAATTGATCAACTGATAAATTTTTAGTATTTTAAAAAAATATATAATTTTAATTACACATTTCATTTTAAAATATTCATATTAAGCAATCGACTGAAAGTTAATTATTCTTTATTATAAATATAGTATATAATAATCAGTTATATTTTAAAATTAATTTTAATAAATATCGTAACAATTCTTTGATAGAATTTATAAATTATTTTCCTTATTGTTTTTATGAACCAAGAGATTTTTAAGATTTTAATGGATAAATATTAAAATTGTGCTTTTATATTTCAAATTAATTTCTATTATGATTAAAGAAAATGCCAAATATTATTATATGAGAGCTTACCGATACTTTACATACACGTAGGTTAGCCCATAAATCAGTTAACCATGTTTTGTGTATTCTAGAGATACTTGTGAATATGAATCCTAAGCTGAATTTAGAGTAATATGCTTTAGTTTTATAGATTTGGTGAAACAGGTAATTAAAAACATATGCAACACCTAGGTATCCAGCTATTGAACCATCAGAAACTGCTAATCTCCAGTTAACTGATTTTTGGACCACCCTCTATAAATATTCAGATATTTACATATTTACTAAACTTTAAATAATTAATTCTATTTAAGATAGAATGTCTTTAAACCCCTCTCAAAATAACATCAACAACATACTGCTGTATATTACAATAAGAATTAAAATGTATTTATATTTTTTTATTAATCTGAATAAGAAATATTTTAAAATATAAAAGTACAACGAATAAAATCTTTTGAAATATTTCAATTTGTGTAAAAACCCTAATAGATGGCAGCACCGTCCGAGCATGGACGAAAGCAAGGGTTTGGGAGGTGATGTACTTCTATTGTGGCTGCGCTCAGTAAAGCGTTAAGCTAGTTAAACTTAATTGTCGCGGACGAGAAAAACTTGAAAAAATCTAAAGCCTAAGGGATTTTGATTTATATAACAACAATCTGTCTCTGGCTGAGATATTATTGACATTAGTTGGAAGAATTGTTGACATTAGATGCTGTGTGATTCTTGCTGATCTTCTTGGTTTCATGTACGAGTTCCAATCCGCCTAATAAAATCAAAAACGACACACAAAGAAAGAAANATATTTGGAAATGAGACTAAGAGAAAATATATTTTATATACATTCTCTTATTCTCATTGTATATAAAATCATATAAAACTCACCTTAATTTCTCTTCTGCATATGAATTTAATTTAAGTTTGGAAGAGATATTAGAGCCCATGTCGCTGTGACAAAATGAACAGTGACTAATTTGAGTCTATCCATGCTGCTGTTCTGAGGAGTATGTAAAGGCCAGTCACATCTGTAGGTCATTGATATTATTAGGTTAAGAGGACGAAGACAAGTTACATATGATCTATTCGTTTTCTGTAAAAGCGAATGAAGTTTGTTGAACGAATTGTATCTGCCCCTTGGCTCCATTTTGTCCTCTATATTTTACACATTCGGTATACAAAGAAACTTGAAAGAGAATTTTTTTCCTCTATTTAATAAACTTCAAATTCTTATTCACTTTTTCTGATGCTTAAAAAATTTATTTTTTAAAATTAAATTAAATTAAACAATGTAATGTTTAATTTTTATTAACATTTTTCGAATATTTTATTAATGAATATAACCTCCAAACTACGACCGTTTTTTATGTTGCCATCGCTGTTCGTTGTTCACAGGTTGGTTGTGCTTTCGATAATAGAGTACAATCGACTCCAAATATTTAAAATAGTGTGAAATTTTTGTAATTAAATATTCTTAATAATTTCCTCGCAAAATTGTGTCTGGTAACTTAATCAAGAGCATTTTTTAACAATAGATTTTTGCTTAATAAGAACTATTTATTATAAATTTTTTAAAGTTACGAAAAAGTATTTATTGAATCTTTGCATTTTCCTGCAGATCCAAGCAAACATTTNAAAATTTTAGGTGGGGATTAATATTTAATGGAAGCACGTAAACAATATAAATTCCATAGAAATTGAATTCTATTTTTCAATTTATTTTATCTTCTTTCAATAGTTTTTTTTTGGAATAAAATATTCAATAAAAATATATTTCTATCTTGAAAATTTAAAATTTTCTTATGATTAAATTTTTTTGGATATAAACAACAAAATAAATTATACACAATTTACATTACATATAATCAGTTTTTCTCATAAGCTCTAATTATAATATTTAATTAAAAGGGCTGAGGCCATTTATTTTTATGAGGTCCTAGCAAAAAATTGTATTATATTTTTTAGGTAATGAAATTTGACAAAATTTAATAAAAATTTTAAAGATATCTTCCTTAGTACACAAAAAATTCAATGAAATAAATACCATGAAGCATCTGTAGATGTGAGGCCTGAGCTAAATGTTTCTACTAGCTTCCCTGTGTGGAGCCTTGTTTTAAATTAATATTTTATTTAAAATATTTAAGACTTTTGAATGAAATTTACAGCTTCCTCATCGTTTTCTTTATTAATTTATGTTTTTAGTTTATAAAATTATAACATGTTATTGTTAGAGAGTCTTTAGGGAAAAGTGCAAAGAGTGTTAACCTCTTGTTATCCTAAACAAAAAGGAACTACAGTTTAGAATGACAGATCGAGGATAATGTTATAAACAATAAGGAAATATATATTTATAAGCCTTAATCTTAGACTAATGATTGACTTAACAATTATTTGTGAAGATTTAAATACTTAGCACTGTAATTTATCAAGTATCTAGTGAATGTGGGAAAGAATAATGTATAAGATGCATAAAAACTTGTAAAGATTGCTGATTTTTTTAAATCAAATTTTATAAGAAAGAACACGGGATTCGTTGTAAATTATATGAAATTTCTATTAGAAGGCTCCTCAGAAATTAAAACCACTTAAACACTTCGTACTCACCATGTAAACAGGCTAAACAATGGCAACGTATGGAAGAAAATGGTGAATATAAGTTGAACAAAGGAATTACAGATGAAGAAGGCTTTGAGGGACGATATCTCCTGGAAGAGGAATTTTGTTTGGCATATTTTGAGAAGGAAAAGTTTATTGAGAAAAATAACGGAAGGGTAAAATGTGTGGATAAAGAGGAAGAGATTAAAAATAGTGATTTGATTTAGAAAAAAGGGAGTTATCAAGACCTGGAAAAGGTCTAGGAGCGTGCAAAATGGAGGAATGGATAGATTGATCTTTGGATGTACTACGTACAATACAACAAAAAAGAAAAAATAGCGAAATTTTAAACGAATCTTAGTGGTAAACAATTAAAAAATATACATCATAATCATTTTTTGATATTATATTACTTTAAAGCAGTAAAGAAAAAATAATTTAATTAATGCGTAAGTCAGATTCCATCGCAAAAATTTCTATTCAAAGAAAAATTTGTGGAATATTTTTTTTATCATAGCGTGCTCCGAAACATTTTCAGTTTAGAAGAAAATTTTTTAAATATTTAGGAATAAATTATTATTATGTTTAAAATAAAAATTGCAGGGTGTTCTGCTGTAATTCCTTTGCATTACATCAATTCTCCGCACGTTTTTTTTTCTTATTTCATAAATC